TGTATAAACTTCTTTTCTTTCATATAATTGTTCAACTTCATTATTATTATCATTTAAAGTTGTTAATGTTATTGTTGTTCTTTGTTATTCTCAATCTTATAACTATTCATGTATTTATATTATTATATTTATTTGATTTTATCTAATAAAATATTTGATATTTGATTATCAATTTATTCTCTTCAAAGATGTGTATGTCTATTACTTGTTTTAATTTCATTTATTCTTTCTTTATTTCTATGTATTATTATATCATTTGTTTATTTTGTTTATTTATTATTATTTTCTTTTTTCTTTTTATCATATCATTATCATTTAGTTGTTGTTCATTGTTATTTATCATTATATTTATGTAATTCTTCATATTTAGTAGATTGTATTTGTGATTCATTAAAATATGGTGTTATGTAATAATTCTTTTCTTTATTCTTTTTTTTTATTTGTTTCTGTTCTTTCATTTTAGTTATTATCTTTGTTATTATTTCTTCTGTTATAATTATTTTATTTTCTCTTTTATATTCTATTTCATTTATTGTTTTATCGTGTCTTTTATCATCTAATTTAATTGTTAATTGTTTCATATCATTTTGAATAGATTGTTCATTAAATATTCTTCTTATTTTTTATTTTCATTCAATTATTGTATTCTTATTATTCTATTTTGATTATTTGTTGTTTCTCTATTAATTATTTCTGTATCAGTAATGTAACATATGATAGTGTTGTTCTATTTCATTGTTCATTTAATATATTTTATACTCATTCATTTTATCAAATATCAAAACATGATTATGTTGTATTTAAATATATTCTAATATCTGTAATGTATATTTACTTATTTAATGTTTTATTTATTTCTGATTTCTTTTATATATCATTCTATTTGTATCATTCATGTGATTCATTGTTTATGTTAATCTTTTATTCTATCATTTCTTTTCTCATTTCTAAGTGTTGTTTTGATATTTATAATATTAAATATTTATAAATTTATGTTAAATATTTAAAGAGTTCAAAATAATGAAAGTATTTTTAAATTACCACAATTAAGTAACACCAATAAACAAACAATATTAATGTCATGAAACAGAGAGTATTTAATAAAAATGATAAATTGTGACAAAATTAAAAATAGATTATTACAATAAATGAGAAACACAATATTATTATATAATTAATGATATAGTAATGTGATATGAATGAAAGATATAGAATATAAAGAAATAATAATAAAATTAAATATCATAATGAAATAATTTAAATATTAATAATAAATTATAATGAAATTAATAATGAAATAGTTAAATATAATAATAATAATATAATAAATAATAAAAATAAAATAATAATTTATTTTTATTTATTTTATTATTTTATTTATTTTCTCTTTTATTGTTAAATTTCTTTATTTTTGTTATTATTTTCTTTATCACTCCATTTCTTTATCTATTATCTTATCTTTTTCTCTCTTTTCTGTTTGATTTATTATTTCTATACTTTATTTTATTTTAACAACTCATTCTTATTTTATGTTCTCTTCATAACAACAATTCGATTTAAGTATTGAATACTTGATTATTATCTTCTTTCTTCTTTATTTTTTATTGTTTGTATTAATGATATTTGTAGTATATATTTATTTCTTATTATTATTATTATTTTGATTATAATATTTTCAAATACACTTGTTTTATTTCAATTTAATTATTTCAATGATATTAATATTATTGAATCCATATTGTAATTGTTTCATTATCATCATTATTAACTTTCATAAAATCAGATAATCTATTAATTAATCTATTTAAATATCTAATATCACAAATATTAGTTTTATTATCATATTCTTCTCTTTATATTTCTAATTTATTCAATTAAATTATTAATGTTATGAATTATATCATTCTTTATTGATTTTATTATTTATTATCTTTTCAACTTCTCTCTATTATCATTTCTTGTATTAAATATTACATTATTTGATAAATGAAATAATGAAGAAATGAAATATTCTAAACAATCACATCAATTTCTAACATCAACAAGATGTTTAATAAAATAATAACATGAGATATTAATAAAAATGTGAAATCACATAATGAATGAATATGATGAATATCTAATTTCAAATATACTAAATCTAAATAATAGAATAGATAATAAACATGTTGAATGAATATATAAATAACTATATTATTCAATAATAATTAAATCATTAAATTAGTATTAAATCAATGATAAATTATTAATTAATAAAACTGAATTATATATATTATAATTTATTCATTAATATTGTGTTTATTATCATTGAAATAAAATAAATATAAGAACAATATATAAACAATTTTTAATAATAAAATACAATCAAAAATAAATATAATAAACAATAAACAATAAAATACATCAATAATTACTGATTTGATATTTAAAATATTCACCAAATATTTAAATAAACAAATAAAATTAATACACATCAGAATTATTGATTATTTTGTATTTATTCAATTACTTTTGATTTAATCATCATTAAATGTATTATGAATAATAACTTTATATTTCTTTATATCAAATCATTATTGAAATCAAATTTCATCATTATTAAATATCAATGAATGTTATATTCTTCTTATTGATTTACAAATCATTTTAAATTATTATATAAATCATCATGATTAAATTATATCTAACATATTCATCATAGATTTCATAACAAATTTATAATTGAATTTACTATCCAATCAATGTTGTAATGATTTTCTAGAAAAGTTCATTCATTGAATAAGTAATACTAATCAATCAATAATATCAAATCTAATAACAAGATTAAATAATGTGTTATCATCTAAATAAGTCAATACAAATACTATTGTTTCTTTAAAAAAATACAGAATTTCTTCAACACTGATGAATATTATTATTTCAATTTATAACATCATTAATATGAATAGTTATTGAACAACAGTTTATTTTAAATAAATAACACTCTTTTAGAAGTTAAATGAGAAATATAATAAATGATATAAAATGAATAAAAAAGATAGAAATAGAACATATTCAATTTTATTCAACAAAACAAGTGATTAATGATAATATTTATTCATTAATTGATCATTAACATCATTTATCATCTATTCAAATGATAAAAATGATAAATTAATATATTTTAATGAATTGAAACATTTAAAACAATTTTAAATTGATTTATTTAAAAATGTCAACATAATTCTTAACTGATTATTTATCATCAAATTTCAATTTTACATGAATGAAACAATTGATAAAACAAGAAGAAAATGAAAAAGAAATAAGAAATAAGAAATAATAATAAAAATGAAAGAATTTGTTATTGATATTTATAATTATTGTTTTTCATTAAATTAAAAATAAAATAATTAAATTATTAATTTAATGTATTATAATTTATACAATTTGTTATTGATTATTTTTTGGCTATGTACTATTATGAAAAACATTAAAATAGAGTTATTTATTAACTCATTTTTTTTGTAAATAACACAAATAAAATTTTTTATTTTTTTATTTTTCATTTTTTGGGATATAAAAATAGAATTAATTTATTTGAAAATCTTTTTTATAAAATATTTTCTGGTATTAATTAAAATATGATACATAATAAATAAAAACTTAATATAGATTATTACACCAAAACCTATTTTAGTTAATATAACGAAGAGTCTATAAAGAAAGATGAAGTGGTAATAGTACTATTTCTTCATTAGAAAGTACCTTTTTAGTAGTAACACAACAATGAGAAGATATATAAACTATGGTATTGTAGTTAAATATAATTATATAACTCATTTGATAATTTCTAGAAAAAAGACAATTTCATTCGAAAAATAAAAACTAGTAACAATAAAAATACCTACGAATAAATTATTTAGTCATAGATTTATAGAGTTTTTATTCAAATGAAAAGAACTGAAAAACTAACCATATTAATCTTAATTTTTATCTATCACCACAAGTACTGTCACTAATAGACAAAAAAATGTAAACTCTCATTTATATAAAAATAATTTTACAAGATAAACTTCAGTGTCAAAACATATCTGATTCTTTTTCCATGTAAATCGTTTGTAAGAATTATTATTGACAGTAAAAGTAAGTAATGTATTTAAAGAGGTACAACTAAGATTCTAATTAATTTAATAAATTATTTTTTATAGCTCAATTGAACTATGTATTTTTGATCATTGTTTGCTTAAATTTTTCATGTCTCACTCAGACATTAAGAGTAGTAATAAATAAATCAATGTTGATAAAAAGATCAAACAACAAAGAAAAAAAATACAAAAAGTAAAAATTATAAACTATTTCTTGATTTAAATTAGAAACTCCATCTCAATATCCGATTTGGTAAAACTGTTGTGTAAGTGGTGTTGAAATAATTATGATTATTGCTTTTACTCTAAAACACTTTTATTATCAAAACTCTTGTTATGATTGCCCAGTTCTTTTTTTTTATTTTGATTCAATTAATCTAACAAAGATTCAAAAGATTCCAAAAACTAGTGAAAGTGAAACAAAATAATTAAAATAATTCTATCATAACAAAAGGAATAAAAGTTATTTTATATTTTTAGGAAAAAAAAATGAATATTTCTTATTTTTTGAGATAAATAAACAAATTAAAAATAGTTTTAATTCGAAATATAAAAAATGATGACTCTCAACAAAAAATATTTCTAAAGATTGAACAAACTGTCCCCTGAGAAGAGAGACAATTATATCAATAAATAACAAAAAGATGGGTGTCATAAACGAGGGTTTAGAATTAACATTTTCTTATAATAAATTATGAAATATCGAATGATTTAACAGAGTGAAACGATATTCTTACTTTAGTAAGGGTTAAAATAGAATTCGTTAAATGGATTTAGTAAGAAAAACAATGTTTAGAGATTATAAAAATAAGAACTACTACTATGTAGAAGTAAAAAGAACTTATTTTTTTAATAACTGATAGTACTCAATCTATGTTCACGTTATATGCCATTATAACTTATCTTTTTCTGTGCAAAGTTTCTGCCCAAGATGATCCATGTATAGTTTGTTCTTTAATAGTAATAAATTTTATATAATTAACAAAATTAACATCACTTTAGAACCGTTTCTTTATTTCAAACGCTAAACATATTTCTGAACTTACAGGGATTGGACAATACATAACTATAAATGAAGATTGTATGAAAGATATTCCAAATTATCAAAAAGAATCTATTGGACATAGTTTTGGGATGGAGTGTTGGATTTATGAAGATGTGTCAATGATCCATAAAGTGTCTCACTCTATATCAAGATGTGGAGAATGTTTAGAATTAACAGGACCTTCTCAAACACCATTTAATTGTATTGTTGTTGGTACCTTTTCTGTTAAACAAGAATGTCCTTATACAAAAGAGGATATTTCAAGAATGATTATAGTTAAGGATAGTCTATTTAAACTAATATCAACTTCAACTTTAGAATCTAATTATGTGTTCAGTCAAGTAACTGTTAGACAAGCTGATTGTAATTTTCATTATCCACCTTTTCTTTATACTCTTAAGAAAAATGAAACTACTGTAGAATTACAAATATTAAATAGTGTTGCATTAATAGAGAAAATAGTTATTGATGAGAATGATTATCTATCACAACCTAATGGCCGTTTTATTGTTCCATTACAAGACAATTTAGTTAATATAAAATTAATTTCATTAGATGGAAGAATGTGTAATGTTAATAATGTTAATCTAAATTCAATTGGTTTATATATTGCAAAAGAACAGTTCACTATTAGGAAAGTGGATTCATGTCCATTTATGCCTTCAACACAAGTTTATATAAATTCTACTTCAAGAGAACAAAATGTATTTTTTAAATGGATATTTAATCAGGTTAATATGGATTATTCAATAAAACGATTAATTGATACAGATGAATCAATTCATTTTGTTGCTGAAAACCAAAGAACAACACTTGGATTTGGATATCCAACAGTAATTAAAATGTATGAACTTTTTTCTTTAGTAATGGTAGAAATGGAAGTTGAAGGTAATTTACCTAAATACGCATTCTCAACATTAGGACATGGAAACCAATTTGGGAAAAGTGCTCTTGATGCAGTTTTTGTTTGTAATACAAATATTCCAGTTGAAGTATTAAATACAAAGAAAGATGAAACTCATTATTTTATTAGAGTAAAACTCTCAATACCAAAACACTGTTATGGTTATTTAAATGTTATCGCCCTCACATTTACAACAGTACCAGGAACAATATTTGATGTTAAAAATATCACTCTTATTCCAAAAAAGCAAAGAGAAGTAATGGAATGTGATATTGAATCTTTTGATTGTCAACATACTGAATGTACTGAATCTAATACAATTAATCCATTATTCTCTTTTGGATGTCGTCCAAGGTGTGGCTCTTGTAGGAATGGACTTATTTGTTCATCAGGTAAATGTGTAAAAGAAATATCATACAATTCCCGAAGTTCAACAATTTCTATTTTGAATTCTATGATATTTACAATAGTACTTTTACTGTTATAATTGTTAATTTTTTTATAATATAAAGAACTTATATTTTTTATTTTTACAATTCTTTTGATTTTCTTTTATTTAAATTAATTAATTATTATTCTTTTACAATTTTCTTTATTTTTAAAGTAAAAACATTAACTTCAAATAAGAATTTTATAAAACCCTTCAAATATAAAAGGAAATAATAAAATCTTAAAAATATATACAAGGGAAGCTTACATTTCGGGGAGAGATGGGTTTATTTTTACTATCTTTTACCCTGGGGAAGGTCTGAGGATGTCCGATTGCCCAATAGGATTGGGGTAGGCGAAAGCTTACACTACTTAATAGAAATTCATCCGAGTGAATCATTTTTAAAATGGTTTCATGGATTTGGGATGGGTAGAGGACTTTTAAGCATCAGTGAGATATGTAAGGGCCTTTATAGGTTAACTCAATTCAGACTACTCTCCTTTGTATTTTTTATTTCTTTTAACATTATTTTATTTTCTATTCATTTATTTATTTTTATATTAAAATATTAATTATTTAGATTAAGTAATTGTTCTTATTTAACTGTTAGCTAAAAGGATTAATACAAAATTAATTTAATTTATTTTATGTATTTTTAAATTTTTATTTAAATTATTTTCATTTAAATTTTAGTTTATAATTTAATTTATTCTTTATTATTTAAATAAAATAATGAAAGAATAAGTCAATTAACAACAGCCACTTTGACCTTCTTGGGAAGATTCATTAGATTTTGAAACTGCAACTCTTTGAGTAGAGCGGATATTACCTCCTTGGTTTCTTCCATTAAGAATGTCTTCAACAAGAGTCATGAACATTTTTTTGACATTACTATTACTAGCAGCAGATGTTTCTAAGAAAGGAATACCTAATTTATCAGCGAGCTCTTGTCCTTGTTCAGTAGAAATTACTCTATTTTGTTCAAGATCACTTTTATTACCAATTAATATTAAGTTAACTCCTTCATCAGCATTTTCTTCAACGTTCTTTGACCAATATGCGATATTGTCAAAAGAATCTTTTGATGTAACATCATAAATCATTGCAATACCAAGAACACCTCTGTAATATGAAGCAACAATAGTCCTAAATCGTTCTTGTCCAGCTAACAATATCTTAGTATTAAGTCTATTACACTAATCAAAAAAACAAACCAGTATCCCATATTTGTAATTTATATGGAGAACCATTGCATTCGATTCTTTTCATTCTAAAATCAATTCCAACAGTTGTTGTTACTTCTTTTGAAAATTTCTCATCAGAAAACTGTAATAATAAACTTGTTTTACCAACCCCAGACTCTCCTATGAGAATTAATTTAATTGTTGTTTCACGTTGAAATGTGCTTGGTCGTTGATTCATTTTTTCTCTTTAATTTTTTTAATAGTTCAGTTCCAAGTTCATTTATTTTTAATTATTTTTTTCTTTAATGCTTGTAATTTTTTTGTTATTTAAAACATTCTTTTTTGTTTCTTTAAATAAGAGAAATTTGTTGAAATTTTACAATCATAAAATCATTTTCTCATCTTTTTTTTAAGAAGAAACTAAAATAAACAAGAAGTTTAATAAGATTTTTTTTATAGAAAGATGTTATTATTTTTAAGTCTTTTGAATTCCCTTTCTTTTTTCTTGTGTTTTCTTCACAAAATGATTTTAGTTGAATCAAAGTATTTTCAAGTACAATGGATGTGTTAAAGAAATAGCTTATAAACCAAAGAGTCCAACACTTAGAATTATAGAATATCCATTAGTCATATAACTGAAACATAAAGTTGCTTTAGTATTTAAAATGTGTCAATAACATATAATTTAAGAGGTGAAGAGTTTTCCAAGAAGAATGACTTACTCTTTTTCAAACAGTTGAAGAGAATAAATAAACTCCTTTTTTTGACAAAAAAAGAGATAGTAACTTAAACCATCAAACAAACAAGGAATGAAATATTCAAAGTTAGTATCAATGAAAGAAACAAAAAGTATAAATTTATAAATAGCTTTTTTATTATTTTATATATAATTATCAAAATTAGTTTGTAATATCAATTTCATTTATAAATAATTTATTTATATTTAATGAATGATAAATTATTATCTATTACTCATTATTCTTTTCTCCTGTTATGTTCTTTATTTATTTAATTATTTGTATTGATTTTATTATTCATTAAATTTGATTTATTATTTTATTCATTTATTTCATTTTATATTTATTATTTTATTTACACTAATATTAATTATTAAATTCAATTTTATTAATACCCTTAATTAATTATTATCATTTTAATTATTATTTTCAGTTGTTGATAATCTCTTCTTCATTTTCTATTTATCTTTGTTATATTTTATAATCCATTTTTTCTTTATTTATTATTTATTTTTATTCTAAATATTATCTAACAGTTTCATTATTAATATCATTATTATTTTTATTAATTATTATTTCTTTTATTTCATAATTCATCATTCTTGATTCATCATTATTTAATTTTCTTCTTTATATTAATTATTTATGAATTTTATATATTATTTTCAGTTTACATTATATCATATTTATTCAATTCTAATAATGAATAAAATGACATTACTATCATACGACATAATGAATTTCAACAAATAAAATACCACAAATGTTTCAATCATTTTATTATTTATAATACTCTTTCAATTCATTGAAATTATTTTTGTTCATTTTCTCTTTTGGTTTATTTGCTTTATATCGTCTTATTTAATTTCATTAATTAATACTTCAATTTAATTTTAAATAAATAACAAAAATATAAAATAACAAATTAAATTTTCAAATACAAATCTTAAAAATACACAAAAAAAAAATAAAAAATATACAAATAAATAATAATAAAATACAATAATAATTAAAATCTTATAAAAATCATTTTACTGATTGTATATTTTAATTTAAAATAAAAAAAGACTAAATAAAAACAAAAGTTTTTATTTAATGGAACAACTTCCTTTTTCTTTTAATTCTAAAAATGTTACAATTTTATTTGACTCTGATGTGTTTGGATTTTCAAAGAACTATTTATATAAATCAATTTATAAGAAAAAAAAAGTGTTCTTTTTAATCTTTATTGAAGAAATGAATCCAATTGGATTTTATGTAGACACCTTATTTTTCAATGACTGGTTTCATGTGGATGATTTTTCTATTACTGAGTTTATGGATCAGTTTAATTTTATTTGCCATTCTCATAAACCCATTTATGATACACTTATTTTCAATAAAAGAAATAAGTTTATCTTTGGAGTTCATGGCCTTTTTGGAATGAAAGTGACAAAGAAACTTAGTTCAAATATTATAACTTGGGACAATGAAAGAAAGAAGTCAGAATATCCAACAATAGACTTCTTTAAGCCAACAACCAAATACCCAGTTACTCGACTTCTAGTGTTATTACAAAATGAATAATATATCGTTATATATAACAAATAAATAAAATTTTGTTAAAAGAATAACAAAAAATGAAATTTTTATCTTTTTTTGTAAGAAAAGGAAAGAAAAAAACTCAAAAAAACAAATTACTTTTAAATCAATTAAATGGCATCATTAACTAAAATCAACTCTCTTTTTCCAAACCCATCTACAATGAACGATGGATATAGCTTTGAAATATATATAAATGTTAGTGAACAATTACAAGAGGATATTGGAATTAAAGTTATTTATGTTGGGTCTTCTTTTTCAAACGAATATGACCAAATATTAGAAGATATTGCTGTTGGTCCATTAAGTGTTGGATTAAATAAGTTTACTATTACTACAGGACCAATTGATATGAGTAAATTACCAGATGATGAGATATTAGGAAATACATTAATACTAATTTCTGCTTCCTATAAAGACAAAGAGTTTTGTAGAATTGGGTATTATGTTAATAATGAATTTGAAGGTATTGACCCTACTATTGATATTGTTAAACGAGAAATGCTTGTTCCAGAAAAAATTACAAGAACCCTTTCAGAACCAAGAGTAACATTATTCCCATGTTATTGGGATAAGGAAGAACATATTGAAATGGTTGAAGAAAAACCGGAAGAACTTGGTCGTGTTATATCATTTTCTGCTGATGGAACTGTTCAATCTAATGAAACAGAAAATGACAACCAAATGGAAGAAATACAATTAAATCCAGAAATTAAAAATCAAATTAGAAGTGCATTAGGAGTAGATGGTTTAATGGAGAAACAAAAAAATATGGATGAAGACGGTAATGAAAGTGGTAGTGAAGATGAAATGGAACCAATGGAACAATAAAAGAATTTATTAATTTTTATTTATTGTAATACATTCTTCTTTATAAACATAAATGTTACTTTCAATTGTTTAGTATGTTCTTGTATTATATGAATTCGTTTTTCTATTAGCTTTAATGAGTCTATTGCTTGTTTTACTTTATTTGGTAACTCAACCATTCCGTCCATTTTTTTAGGTGCTTCAACAGCCATTCCTAAACACAATTTATTCATCTTTTCAACTCGTTCCATTTTGACTAATAATTTTTCTTGTCGTTCTTCAATGAATGCTTTTCTTTTAAAGAAGTATTCAAATAAGATTGGCATTAATATATTTGGTGTTTCAATCTTTTGTATTAACTCTTTTTCTGGTAATTTATTTTTCTTTAATGTCTCAATGACTTCAGTTGGAATAACGTTTTTCATTTGTGGTTTAGTAACTTCTTGTCCCATTTTTTAAACTGTTTTTCATAATTAAAAGTTCCTTTCTTTTTGAAAATAAAAAAAATCAAAATTGAAAAAGTTCATTTAAAAGATGTTGAACATTTTCTTTAATCTAACTAATAATTGAATATCATCTTGAGTCAATTCTTTTCCATATCGAAGTTTTAATAAATCTAATGACTCTCTTGATATTTTTGAATACAACTTATCTTTTGAGTCAAAATGTTTTTTATATGTAAACACACTTGATGGTGAGAATGGTTCAATTTTAATACAAACTTCTTCTCCAGTTTTTCCAACTTCAACTGGTTTATTATTCAATTCAATACCTGTAACCCTTCCAAGATCCATATTATTTCTTGATGGTAATGTAATTGGACATCCCATTTTCATTGTTCCTTCTAATACTTTTACACCACAAATAATTGGGTTTCTATCATTAAAGACATACTGTGGTAATATTTCTGCAATACATGGCCATACAACAATTCCAGCATTTTCAGCTGCAATTCTTTTTTGTTCTTCAAGTTTTTTCATATGTTCATTGAATTGATCAAAGAGATGATAAATAATATTTGCAGTGAATATAAGAATACCTTCTTCTGCTGCATAGTCTCTAGCTTCTTTATCTACTGTAACATCAAATGCCATAATAATAGCATAGTCAGGATTTTTCTCTTTCATAATTAATGTTTTCATAACATCTTTTTTGAAAATTGGTCCTAAACCAACTCCTGAAACTGGAATTTTTGAGTCTTTAAGGAATTTTAATAATGCCTCAAGTGATCCAAGTGATGATGCTTGTACAAATACACCTTCTTTTTCACTAACACTAACTTGGAATTTTTCAAATTCTGATTGTACTTCTGTTTTAACTTCTTCAAGTTCTTCATCATTATTACAAACTGCAATAGATGATCCTGCAATTGCACCATCAAGGTCTTGTGCACTAATCTTTACACCCTGTGCAGCACAAACAACATCTTGTACAATGTAAGGTGTTTTAACTCTTAGATCTTTCATAGGTTGTGGTAATAATAAAGCACGAATTTGTGTGACAATTGGTCCATTCATTCCACAAACAACAATTCTATCTCCTCTCTTTAAAAATCCATTAACTAAAATAACATCAATAGTTGTACCATGTCCTTCTGTAGTTTTAACTTCCATAATAGTGGCTTGAAGAGAATCAGTTGGAGTTAATTTCTCTAACATTAATCGTTGTGTCATAGCAATCAACACAGCAACAAGATCTGGAATACCTTCTCCTGTAATAGCAGATGTTGGTACTAATGAAACATATTCTTTAATATCTTTATTATCATAATAAAGACATGCGTTAATTCCTTGTGCTGCAAAATCTGTAATAGTAGATTTTAATCTATTTTCAAATTCTTGTTTTGTGTCTTCATTTTGTTTAGCAAATGTTTCTTTAAATGGCATTCCATCAGTTTCTTTCCATTGATAACATCTATCAATCTTATTTAATGCAACTACAAATGGTGTATTCTTTTGTTTTAATAAATTAATGGATTCAATTGTTTGTGGTTCTAATCCATGCATTAAATCAACAACTAAAACAGCAATATCACACAAACTAGTTCCTCTACTTCTTAAATTATTGAAAGCTTCATGACCTGGAGTGTCCATAACCAATAATCCTGGAATTTTAAATTTTAATTTAGTTTTATCCTTCATTTTTTCTGTCATTTTTTCAATTGAGTCTAATGGGAAGAATGTAGATCCTATTTGTTGAGTAATTCCTCCTGCCTCACCTCTTTGCACATTTGTTCTTCTCATTCTATCAAGAATTTTAGTTTTACCAGTATCTACATGTCCTAACACACAACAAATAGGTGATCTATATTTTGGTTTTATTTTTTCCATTTCTTCTTGTTCTTTTCTAAGTTTTTCTTCTTCTTCCTTTCTTTTCTTTTCTGCAGCTCGTTCTTCTTCAATTCTTTTCTTTTGCTCTTGTTTATTTTTGATGTCTTGTTCTTTTTGTTCTTCTAAATCCATCATTTGTTCCCAGTCCATATTTTCCATATCCTCTTCTTTAATTTCTTCTTCTTGTGGTTCCTCTGTAACAACTTCTTCTTGTGGTTTTGGGGCTTTTGGTTTTTTCTTTTGGTACTTCTTTTTTTCTTTCATACTGTCAATAGTTTTTTCTTCAAGTTCTTTTTCTTCACGTTCCTGAACTACTAACTCTGGATTTTCTAATCCGATAACATGAGAGTTAGATGCCAAATATTTAAGTCTTCTTTTTTCTTTTTCGTTTTCAAGTAATTTCTTTCTGTTTTCTTTTTTCTTTAATTTCTCTTCAGCTTTTCTTTTCTCTTCTTCAATCTTTCTTTTTTCTTCTTCTTCTTTATACTTTCTTAAGGCTTCAGCTTCTGCCTTTTCTCTTTCTTCTTCTTCTTTTTGAAGTCTTTCTTCTTCTTCTTTGTCTTTCTTTAATTTTTCTAATGCTTTCTTTCGAGCTAACTCAGCAGGTGAAACTTTTTTCTTAACAACTTTTTTAACTTCCTTTTTAGGTTCTACTTCTGTTTTTTCTTCTGGTTTTTCTTCTGGCTTTTTTTCTTCTTCTTCTTTTTTTCTAGCAGCTTCTCTAGCTTCATTTTCTGCTGCAAGTTGTTTAAGAAGTTCTTCCTCATCCATGTCATCATAGTTAATCTTTTCTCCATGTGGTGCTTTGTTGACTTGTTTCTTACTTACTTTCTTTGTTACTTTAGCTTTCTTTCCTTTTTGTGCTGGCATTTTCTATTTCAAAACCTTTTTGAGTTCTTTTTATCTATTAACCCTATTTACTAGTAATTAACTAAAATAATCCTAGATTTTATTATATTTCTTTGAGAAATTGGTTATACTTCTAATAAGCTTTTGTATGTTGTCCTATTATTATCAATTACTACCACCAGTTTTTTGTCAGGCAAATGAAAAGACTGATGATTTAATGTAATTGTTTTTATTCAATTTTTTTAATTATTTTTTTTTTGAGATAACATATTTCTGAAAAAGAAATAAATAACAAAAGCATAAAAAAGAAAAACAAATTTTTAAATTAAATAATAAATTAACTAAAGAAATAAATAAGAACCCTTAGGGTGGAACAAAAGAACTAAAATATCTGTAAACACCACTTGTAGTAGAAATGGTCAAGTATTGCGCTAAACCAGTTAATGTTGCAAAAGCTGCTCAAGCTCGTGGTGATAACCTTAAGGTTCACTTCAAGAATACTTACGAAACTGCCGATGCTATTAGAGGAATGAAGGTTTCTCGTGCACAAGAATTCCTTAAAAACGTTATTATTAAGAAGGAAATTGTTCCATTCAGAAAACATAATGGAGGAGTTGGACGTAAGGCTCAATGCAAAGGATTAAATTGTGCATTTGGAAGATGGCCAGTTAAATCAGCCCAATTCATTCTTAAACTCCTTAAAAATGCAGTTGATAATGCTAAGGCTAAAGGACTCAACACTGCTCTTTTAACAGTTAGTCATATTGCTGTTCAAGAAGCTCGTTCATCAAGAAGAAGACTTTATAGAGCTCATGGAAGTATTAACTCCTTCTCAAGCAGCCCATGCCACATTGAACTTATTTTAACTGAAAAAGAAAAGAAAGTTGCAAAACCAACTGAAGGAATTAAAGGAAAGAAATCTACTCATCAAAAAATCGCCTACGTTCTCAATTAAGCGATTCTAATTGGTTGTTAGTGGTTATTTTGTTTTCTTTATATGGTTTTTATTCTTTTTATAACAGTTTTATTATTTTTTCTTTGAGTATTTCTTTCACTATTTTTATTAATGATTATTATTGATAATTTTTATTCATTTATCTTTCTAATAATACATTAACATTTATACATTAAATGAAAGATTCAATAAGTCACAATCTATGAAAAAGTTTAGTACTTAAATTAAGATAATTTAAAGGAATAACTAAAATTCTTCAATTTTATATAACAATTTTGTTTTTATTCATTCATTATTAATTTATTTTTGATTATTTATAGGTTCTAGACATGCTGAAGAGTTATTATAGATAAAAAAGATATATTTGTTTGAATAGAAAGGTACCATCTTTTATAATCTACTACATATTAAATTTTTATTTAACGATTACTCATTGATTTAGCTTCTCTTTCATTCATTTGGTTCACTTTGTGTTTAATAAGTTCTTGGTTTTTTATTGAGAATGAGACTTTTTAGTAATAAAGTAATAATTTGAATATAGGAAATAAAAGAGCATCTCCTCTGTTAGTTTGGTTGTTGGTTAATTTGTGTAGGAAAAACAAAGGGATAGATAAGGTAACTGTAAAGGTTAGGATGAGTGATCTCCACTGAATTCGAAGTGGTGAATTGAAAAAGAGTTTCACAAGCTCTTTCACAACAAAAATGTCTTGAGTGATCAAGGATGGTGTTGATGGTTTTTCCCTGTTCAGTTGGAAAGTACTTGTCAACGTCCTCTATGTCATAGTGTGGTGGGACTTTTTCCCAATCCTTGAGATAATTAACCAGAATTTCTTTAAGGTCATGTTCGTTGTGTTTAGTAAGGTCGAACGGACAACCATGAAACTGATTTAGACCAACTTCTTTACTTCTTACGTCAAGACAGCTCCAAACTGGTTCAGTAATTTTAGACCCTTCTAAGCCATAACAATGCCTAAAGTAATAATATAATTGATGTTCTTTATCGAACTTTTCCTTCATATAAGTAGTAAGGAATAAAACTAATTGTTGTTGGGGGAGTTGAAAGTGATAAAAGAAAATACCAATCTGATGTCTTGAATCAAAGGTAACATTTCTCTTTTTCTTCATATTAAAAATAATATTGTACATACATAATGGTAATACCTTTAAATTTTCATCTAATGTTTGTGCAGTTAGTTTTGAACCACAACCAAAAGATGTTAGTTCGCAAGGAGAACGAAGAGTGAACAAATTCATTTTTTGACTGATTAAACGTTTTAAAGGTTCTAATTCTTTTGGCAATTGGATGTTTAAAAATTTATCGGTTTGGAGTACATTAAAAAATAAGCAAGAGAGTATAATGTCTGACTCAGAATGAGGAACTTTAAGTAAACCATTTTTCATTTGATATCTTCTTGAAGTAACCATTGGCATAACTTTGTCAAATGGGATGTAATAGAATGAACTATCTTCCAAAATAACTATTTGTTGATTTTGTAGAAGCGACGGTATACGATGAGGATATGATTGAAGATGAATAAGAAAGAGAGCTGTTTCAAGATATACAAAAAGTTCATGAATTTGTGAGAAAGATAGATGAAGAATAGAATTAGAAAAAAATATTCTAAAGAAGTAAAAAGATACATAGTCAGATGGTATATCTGATTCGTTTGGGAAACAATCCTCAAAGGGAATGTCTTTGTGAAATAATTGAATAGGATAGAATGTCGTTGCATTTTCATAAGTAAAAAATTGAGATTTCATTACATTACGATACCATTCAAATCTTTTTTCTATTGCATCATAAATAGATGATAAAGGTAATGTTTTAATATATGATTCAAAATAAGAAGAATGGCTTAAGTGCAAAGGTAAAAAGATTTCAGGACGAGTATAACTTAATGATGGAATAGGAAGAAATGAAGGGTTAGGAGTAGTCATTTGTTCGAAATAAATAACAGAAAAAGAAACTAAAAAATTGTTTTTTATCAAAAAATAATAGATTTTCTTTACATTATAAGATGTCAAGTAATAATATTCAAAAAAGAGAATTTGTCCCATTGGAAGAATATACTGGAAGAATAATTTATAAGTCATTTAAAAAGAATTATCATAAACGTGATGGGACTAAAGGAACAATTGTTATATTTGTTCTTCAAGATAAAAGTGGGGATGAAGTGAAATTAGTAATTTTTGATAAACAAGTAGATGATTGTTATGATAAAATGAAAGAAAATGAGACATGGACATTTAAAAATTTACAAATAAGAGAATTAAATCCATACCAAGACAAAGAGTCATCAGAAATGATGAAAAGTGAAATAAAGTTTTATCATGAATCTACTTACAGTCCTTCGAAAGAAGAAATTCCTTTGATTATCCTCTACATCAATAAAATATTTCCTTTTACTTTTTGTGAAAATTTATTAAATGATGCAAATTTTATTTGTTTCTGTTTAGAAATAGAAAACGAAAGGATTTCCTCTAGTATTAGAGGAAAGTTTCAAGAAATTGAAATGAGAGTTGTTGATGTTTCTAGACGTTCTATTATTGTAAGGTGTTTTTCTTGCAAATGGAATCAATGGATTAAAGAAAATATTAAAGTAGATACAGTCTTCTTACTTGGAAGGTGTCACATCAATCACCAACCAGAAGGACGTTATTGTATCATTCGAGAAGGTAGTTATTTAAAAGTTATAAATTCTTATAAGGATATTCCTCAACACCTTGCATGCCAAGATACAGAGTATGATGATATGCCACCAAATATGTCTTATGGATTTTCTCAAGATGAATATAATTTACTAATTGAGATGAGAAAAAATGCAGCACACACTAATTTTATTTCTGTCTCTCCTCCTCATTGTAGAAAAATACATTCTCAAACAGCTACTATTTTTTCTTTGAATGATTACATTAATGATGTTCAAATAAATAATTCAAAAATAGACAGGACTTATTGTGTTTTTGCTTATTTACAACGAATCCAAATATTAAATTGTTTTTATACAGGTTGTGCTACGTGTAAGAAAAAAATAGAACAAGACAATTGTAAATGTCCTAAATGCAAGGATACAAAAAGAAAAGTTTGTTATAAAACTAATGCCCTTTTATATGAAACTCAAGAAGATGCTGAGTCTAATAGAGATAGTCATTGGGCATATATATCAGAATCTTGTGCTGAAAAATTTATAGGTAAGACTGCACAAGAATTTCAAGAAATGGATGAACAACAAAGAAGTGTTGTTGTCGCACCATTATCTTCAAAGAAATACCAACTCGTTGTAAAAGGAAAAATCAGTGATAATCCAAAATATTTAGGAAAAGTTTGGACAACAATTTGTGAGTTAACTCCTGTTGAAGAACAATAAATTTTAATTAATTTGTCTTTGTCAAATGAAGGAAACGGCTTATCTTCTCTCTTCTCTTTCTTTTAAATATTTCTTTTGTTTGATCTCTTTTATTTTTATTGGACTGAATTGCAACAAGGACTCTCTTTTTTTCTCCATTAAATGAAGGATCAAGTTGTTTGTTTAGTATTTTATTCTTTTTTTTCAGTACTTTTGCATTAATCCCTGCTAGTTTTAGTTCTAATTTAGCATCAATATAATCCAATTCCTCTCGAATTTTGGTTGTATTTTCATTACCTTCATTATTATAATAACTTTGTTCGTGAATAATACCTTTTGTTGTTGGACTATTTTTATTTTGGTCATAAATATCACTTGATGTAGAATTTTTATCCATAACAGAACTTGAAAAGTCTTCTTTTCTGATATTCCTTTCATCATCTGGTACTGGACTGACACTTCTTGAGGGTGGGTCATCTACTAAATCATCATTTTTTATTCTACTATCAAGAGGGGATGTTATTAATAAAGGATTTATACTATCGCTGGTTGATTCCATTTTAATATTATTTTAGTTTCTTACTCTTAGATTCAGTTAAATACAAGAACAGGATACAGATATCTTGTTTAAATGAAAAGAGTTCATACAAAATTAATAAAAAAAAGATTCAATCTAATTAGTTTAAATAAATGGAGTTTCTTTTCATTTTAAATGAACTTAAATTATGGAAGAAGTGAAAGAATTCCAAGATGAATATGTTTTGAGAATGCATTTCTATAATAAACAAGAATGTTTCCATTGGTTAATATTAAACTAATAAAATTAGAGTCTAACATTAAACTTTAAAAAGAAAAAAAAAAAACAAACTCTTTATGATCTTTAGTAATTTCATTGTATTTATTTAAATAAATAAATCCAATTCCATAACCTGATCCTCTTTTTAATGAGTAACCTCCTTTGATAATTCTACCGATAACGTTTTCATCTAATTGATCTATTTTAATACAACAACTTGTTTTAAATTCATTAAGTAATTGTTGGTCTGGTATATGGACATAAGCAAATCGTTCAGGAGTTCCATTAATTGATATTAATTCAAATCTAATAATTTTGTTTTGGCTGTCTTGAATTAAATGAAATTTTTGTTCATTTTGAATAAACTCTTTTCTACGAATAACTTTAAATCCTTTCCAATTCATTTCCCATGGAATTTGGTTTTGAACAGAGAACATCTGAATATTCATTTTTTTTGATTTAGGTTTCATATTAGCTTGTTTTATTAAAATACCTTTTTGTTCTTCACTTATTTGTTGTGAATATTCAATGTCAACATAATCATCAGGATAAGTCATTAGTCCTGCTTCATATGTTAAGTATTTTCTTTCACTTAATGCTAATGGTAATACACAATGCCATACTATTCTTCTCCAACAAGTTAATGCAAATAAACTTGGGACAATAAGAAAATAACCAGAAGAAAAATGACTACCATCTGATGCATTAACTTTGTTTGTCATCAATAACAAAGGAATTTCTTTTTGTTCTAAAATAACTTTTCTTGCTTCTAAATAATTGTTAAATGATGAAACATCACTTAAATTAATTATTTGTTCTAGTGTTTGAGAAACTAATTCTGTTGAAATAACATTAAACAAATCCTTATGAGTAGTTAATTTCGTTATTGATTCTTTTTGTTTATCAGGTTTACTATAAAATTGTGATATTGGATTATTGATATCAGCAATCTTAATTTTTAATGGAATTATAGACCCATTTGGTGTGTTTTCTGGAGGAAGTTCACATATTCTTCTTAAAACTTCTACTCCTTTTTCTTCTTCAACAAAGTCAAAAGAGTTTAGTAATGAACGATGACAATTATTTCCAATTAATTCAAATACTCCTAATCTTTGCATTAACTTTAGTTGAACTTTTTCTTTATCAAATGCCTCCATAATATCTGTTTTACTTACTGGATGCACAAAAATAACAATTCTTTTTTCATTTAAAAGTAATTTAATTGGTCCAAATTTTGTGGTATTTGCAATCCAAATTCTCCATTCATTTTTGTTAATAATTTCATTTAATTGTAATACCTTTATACATGTCTCTCTATTATATTGATTATTTTCTAATTCATATTCAACATAATAACTTTGATCATAAACAACACTTCTTTTCTCAGCTGCGTTTAATAGTACTCTTAATCCTTTGTCATTTCTTTCATTAGCAATTTTAACACCCCACATTTCTTTCATATGACACCTTTTAGCGTGCCAAGTATGTGTCATAAGATATTGACTTTTTCCCCATGAATATTCTTTGAAGTTTCTTCTTAATGACCTTCTTGATCTTCTAATCTTTTTTTGCATTTTCTGTGCTGCAGTTTTATTGTCTTTCATTTCTTTTTCATTCTTTTTTTTCTCTCTCAATGCATTAGCAATAAATCTGTGAGGGAGTACATGACAAAAATGTGAAGCTTGTCTTCTTCTAAGATGTCTTGGAACTGCTTGATGTACTGTTCGGTTGCCTGAATAAGCATTTAATTGATCGGTAAACTTTTTTATTTCTTCAATTCTAGAAGTAGTCAACTCTCCTACATTGAGAGTGGTATTTGTTTTTAATATATCTTTGTGGTATCTTCGTTCAGTATAACTCATATTTGGTTCATAATAACTTTTTAAAACATCCGAAAACAATAAAAAACTAAAAGGGTTATTAAATAAAAATTATTTGTTTGTTTTTTTAATAAAAACTTTTGAACTCAATTTCAATGGAGAAATTAGAAGAAGATCAAGCTGAACAAATCAGAAAACCTCTAAACGAAAATGGAGTTGATGTTACTGAAATTGAAAATCATGGAGTCATTATTATTAATAAATCTCCTGAAATTATTGAAGTCATTAAACCAAATGAGTGTGATATCAAATTAATCTCAGAAAATGTACGGAAAAATTTGACAAATTCAATATCAAGCAATCCACAAGTTGCCGCAAAAGTTCAAGCTGAAATGCAGAAGATTTTGTCTCAGCTCGACCAAATGTAATTGAACTTTTATTAACAAATTAACACTAAACAAGACAACAAGGTTTTGAAGGTATTTTAATACCAAAAAAGATATCATTAGTATTTTGATTAGAGAATGGTGGAATAGAAATAGTTTGAAGTTCATTACAATGAGAAAAAGCATGATATCCAATACATGGAGAACCTTCTATTACAACTGAACTTAATTCATAACAATCATTAAATGCTTCATCTCCAATCGATTCTATAGAAGCTGGAAGTGAAATAGATTTTAAATGAGAACACCCCATAAATGCTCGAGACTCTATGATTTTTAATGATGTTGAAAAAATTATTGAAGTTAAAAGGGTACATTGATTACACGCATTAGATTCAATTCGAGTAATGCTATTTGGTAAAACAATTTGGCATGGCATAATATATTTAAATGCATTCCTTCCAATAACATTTATTGTTGATGGAATTTCTTCTATTATTTCAATGCAGTCATCAGGAGTTAATACAACATGTTTAGAGGAAGGAGTTTTATTATCCAAACTTTGTTTATTAGTAATACATTTTAATGAACTTAGAAGTGGTGGGTTGATTTTAATTGAGTCACAACCATCAAAACAAGACACACCAATATAATTTAGAGAAGATGAAAAATGTAATTGTTTCAAAGAGTGACATCCTTTAAATGCTTCTTGACCCAATTCAATAATGTTTGAAGTGTTAATAATTTCAGTTAATGACAAACAATTTTCAAAAGAAGAATGTCCAATTCGAGTTATACAAGAAGGAAGAACAATATCCTTTAACTGAGTGCATTCTTTAAAACAATTATCTGGTATTACTTTTATTAATAAAGGGAGTACAACGTGTCTTAAAGATTTACAATTTTCAAAACTAGAAATACCAAGATGAATCAATGAAGAACATAAGACTAACTTGCTTAATGAAGAACAATCCGCGAAACAGTCTGATCCAAGCGAAGTTACTGTTGAAGGAATTAAAATACTTTTAAGATAAATACTTTTATTAAAACAACAATCAGCAAGGTCAGTAGTTAATTTAGGAATATGATGTTTCTTTTCATTTTTATCTTTTTTGAAAACAACTCTCTTAAAAGAAACATTAGAACTATTCATTTTTTTAGCTTCTGTATGTGTTAATAGACAACGATAAACATAATTAGAAACTTCTTTAATTTTTTTGTCGTTCTTGTTAAAGAGATATTGGGTTTTTATTTGTGGAAATAAACGAAGTGATTTAACTGAAATTGGATTTGATTGAAAATAACTGAGGACAATTTGAAATCGTTTAGATATTTGAATAAAGTTGATAAAATCTGACTCGGTTTGGAGGTATTGTGCAACAAGGAATAATGGGTCAACTTCAAATGCAAAGAATCCAAAAATGTCTGTCTCTGCAATTACTAATTGAATTTGTTCAGAGTATGCTGTTGATGTAGATGAACATGAAGATAAGGTAATACTTTCTTCAGAAGACATGAACTAAAAAAAAAATGAAGTTCATAAAAAACAAATGAAAGAGAGGATTTAATGTTTTAAAAAAAAAATTTTAAAAGAATTTTATTGAGGTTTTACAAGAACTAAGTATTATTCAATCGAATGTTGTGGAAATATTTAATATTTCTTTCACTTTTTTTAACTTTTAGTCAAGCTTTAGAATGTAATGAAACCAACTGTAGTACTACTGAAACCAACTCAACTAAAGATTCAAATGAATTTATTCAAAGTAAAAACAAGAAGAAACATAAGAGAAGTCTTAAAGAAAAAAATAAAGACAATCAGACAAAAGAAACTAAAAATTTAACAAGTATAATAAAAACAAATGACACTCAACAAAACAAAAAGACTCATCAACTCATTCACAAAAAGCAATTGAAAGTAAGTGAAAACAATACCATTGATAATGGTATTGAAGAAATCACTAATAACACTATCATTACTCAAGATCCCATTTCTAAAAAAAAGAAAATAGTAGAAAAGAAAAAGAAAGCGATTACCAAAAAACATTCAGAAAAACTTGAAAACAATAAAACATCTTTATTAGCTAATACTACAAACACAACGAATAGTTCATTAGAAAGTAAAATTAAAGTATTACTATTAACTAATAAAAAGGTAAAAGAAAAAATTAAAAAAGAAAAAGGTGCACAGAAGAAACAAATAAGAAACGAAAAAAAGAGACCCAAAGGAGGAAAAGTAAAAGACCAAGAAAAAATTATGAAAAAGAAATTTATTGAAGAACGTGCACGTATTAAAAAAGAAAAAAATAGAGAAAGGTATCAAGAAGAATTACAAGAAGAAATGCAAAAGAAAATTAATGGAAAACAATCAAAAAAGAAAACTAGTTACAAAAGAGTTCATAACTAAAAAATATTAGCTCATAAAAATAATTTGCAAACTAGTCAAGTGTTAATCAAATATTTATTTAATTGGTAAAGTAAATGGAATAAAAATTAATATAACTTTTTTAATTATAAAGAATGGTGAATTTTTCTTTTTTTTTTTTTTATATTTTTTTTACCATATTTTAACAATTCATTTAAACAAAATAACTTGAAAAAACTAAAAATGAAAATTCTTATAACTAATTATTCATTTTAAATAATAATGAATTGGAAAATAATTATCAAAAATACTCCACTTCTATTAATTGGTTCAATTTGTATATTCTTACTTTTTGTTATATTACCAAACGTACATAACATAACACAAAAAGAACTCACACAAGTAATTAGTGAATCATTATTATATAATAGTTTATTCATCTTTTCACTTGTTTTCATTATTCCGTTAATATTTGGATTATCGTACCTCATTCATTTTATCTTTATACCTCATTTTGTTGCTATGGTTAGTCCAGTTGTTGTCCCTTGTAAAGGAAGTTTAATTGCTTTGTTTTGTGTTGGAATTCTTTTATTGGTAGAAATTTTTATACAAAATACTTCATTAAAAAATATTTTTCATACACTTTCATTAATATGCTATATTATACATGTTATTACTTATTATTATATTGTAAGACTATGCCCTTTTACTATGTCATTCATTAGATCAAGAATACAATCAGTAAAATTAATATTAACAGTAAACCTCATTATAACATTACTTTGTAAATTAATTTTAAAAGGAAGTTTGTTTTTTATTTATTTAACTAGTAATACTGTTCATTCTCATTCTTAGCAATTGCTATTCTTTCTGATTGGCTTTCAATATTATTAGCAATTATTATTGCTAGTTGTTACTATAAAGATATCAAGGAATTTGTAGTGAATTATTATAATGATGTAGAGTCACAAAATAATATTGAAACATTAACAGACCTAGACCCACTAACAATGAAAGAACTAGAAGAACCAAGTGATATTGTGACCATCTAAAACTTATACTTCAAAAACTTATCATTTATTAATTCAACTAAAAACAAATTTTTCTTGTTTTAATTTAAAAAGTTGAAATGATTTAGAGAAGTATTAATTAAATGAATTAAAAATTAACACCTTAAAAATACTTGACAATCTTTTATTAACTAACTTCTCTTTAATTTTCTTTTTATTTTTTATTGTTTTAATATAACAAACAACACCCATAATAGTGCAGTTATAGTTTATTTCTTTAATAAAAAATTAATTTATTCTTTAACTATAACTTGTTTGTTCGAGTTAAACAGTAAAATGAAATTATTCACAAATAAATGTTTAGTTGAGAAAAGAGATTATTTTGATGAATTTAAAAAATTAAACATGGTGTAGAAACTTTATTTTATCATAAGAATCACTACTACATTAAATCATAGTTACTTTCTTTTCTAATACACCTAACTCTTTCACCTTTTTTTCTGTTGGTACTTTGACATCGTGAATAATTTCTTTTAATAAATCTTGTTGGTGGGATAACTGTGTCAATTCTTGTAATTTGTTTTCATTTTGAGTTAAATGAATTTGAGTTGTTTTTATTTGACTAACATAAGTTTCAATGTTTTGTCGAGAGTTTTCATTGGCTTGATTATACCTTTCAATCTTATTATCAAAATAACTGAGAATATCATCCCAATTCTTCACTGATTCTTTCATTTGTGCATTTTTCAAAGTTATAATATTCTCTTGCTTTTTTTCTCCAAGCATTCCATTCTTTAATACATTTAATTCCCATTCATTCATTTCATTATCACTTGACTCACTCATATTCAATCAATTTTTACAAGTTCTATTTATTGTTTTTGAAGAAAGAAAAAAAGTTTTAGTATAATGTTATTATCCTTTTCTTTCTACTGTTTGTATAAAAATTTTACTAAACCATGTTAGTACTTATTGAAAAGAGATTTAAAATTATTTTTTCATATAACTGTTCTTTCAATCGAAAGGAGTATTAAAATAATTTTAGTCTGAGAGTTTTAGTTAAACTACCAAATTTTTTAATTCTTCCTAAGTTTTACTTTAAATACTACTCTAAATTTTTTCTTGATACGAATTACAATCTTATTAATTTGTTTTGAACTTATGCCTAAGAGTTTTATCAAATTATTTATATATAAACTCTTAATATTTTAAAGTTTTTTTGTTGCACAAGAGAATCTTATCAAATAAAGTTATTCTTGAGAACAAAAGAAAGGTATTTGAAATGTTAATAACTTGTAATATTAATTATCAAGCTTTAATAAGCATGAACAATGACAAGATATGAAAGCTATAAATCAATTATCAAAACAATAATGGGTCACGTGTGTTTATATAAAATGAACCATTTGGTTTTGATGCAAAAATTGATGAAGACACATAACAACGTTTAAATGGAAATGGAAGAATCCAATGGAAATATGTAGCTTCTTGAACTGAAGAAAAATGCAGAAAGATAACTCCAGACTCGGTACAAAATGAAGATATGTATGTTGGATTAAAAATTAATAACTCAGCATTGATATCAGATTCATTTAAAATTGAAAGAAGTGTTTTAGTCTGGAAATATTGAGGAAGTGAATAAATCATGACAGTATCATACACATCAATTTCACTGATAATAATATCTGATTCAATGTTAGATAAAGAAAATTGATTATCAGTAGTTGTTAAAGATCTTTGAACACTTTTATACATAAATAACATATCTTGTAATTCAAATGTAGTTGTTGCTGTACTTAATAACACCCATGGGACAAACGGTGGAAGAACTGAAAAAACAATATTTGTTGATATCTGTGGTTTATCAGCATAAAAAGAAGGAGACGTTACTATTCGTTGAGTAGAATAATCAAAATTAAGGTAATAAATCAAGTATTGATTTAATAACTTTCCAAGAGAAAGATCCTTTGGGATAGAACTATTAACACAATAAGGACATTCACTCCATTCTACTTTTTGAAGAGTACATAATGGTTTATATGTATGAATTATATGATTAGGAGAATTACAAGAATTAATATCTTGAAGAGAATGAATTCCAATACTATGAAGAAAATGAACAACCATAACTCTAGTTAATGTTGAAAGGTGTTGATTTGTTGGAAATAAGTCTTGGTGAATAAGATCGACACAATCAAATAATAAAGAAATAGATGGATGTAATTTTTTATAAGATTCAAATAACAAATAATTATAATATCCTTCATATCTGTCAATAGATAACTGAATATAAAATTCAGGGTATGTTATTACTAATCCTGGAATAGAAGTAGTTGTAATTTCTGCTTTTTGGTCTAATCTATTAGCTATTTGTGTCAATTTTTTAATGATAGTTGATTTTTTGTATGATAGATAAAGGTTTTGATAATTATTATTTGAAGAAGAGAACTTGACCATAGAACTAAATTTACTATTTAACTGAAACTGACTTCCTTCAAGAATTGAATAACAATAAATTGGTTTTGTAAATCTATGTATATTAGTTATAAATAATTTTGCTTTAGGAAATAATTTTTTAATTATATCATCAATAGATTTAGGTTGTGGAGGTAAACTTTGGACTAACTTTTCATCAGTATATTTAATGTTTTTACTAAGACTAGTCTTTTTTATTTCAACTTGATATTTTTCTTTTAACCAATTAAAAAGACAAGTCTCAGTCATTTAATATAAACAATGACTATATAAGTTTTAATAAAGTAAAAAAGATGAAAAAAAAAAACAAATTAAACCAATTTATGTTTTTTGTTTTAACTGAAAAAATAATATATAAACAGGCGTACACAATTACATTTTGGGCTTGTAGTTATTCCTCCGCTTTGTCAATTATTTTTAATTTAATCATTAAATTATCTTGTTCTTATCTTCATTCTATAAATATATTTTTGTTATTAAGGAACTTGACTTCAATTTTCAGGAATAAATCCTAAAATTATATTAAAAGAATTTTGTTCAAAAGAAGAATTTCCAAAGGAAAAAACAATACATAATAACAAAAATAAGTATTTTTCAAACAAGAAAAAAAAAGTAGTTCACAAAAATAAAAAGAAATAATAGAAATATCCAAAAAAAGAAAAGAATAAATTAAATAAATTATTAAATTAATTTTGAAAATAGATTTCGTGAAGGAAGTTTTAAAAAAAAAAAAAAGACAAAAAAACCTATATTACAAAAAGAACTGAAATTCATTTATTTCAATTTCAACTAATTATGTCTAGTTTTGTCAAATCAATCTCTAGTACTGAAATCAAAAGAGAGTCAAAATCATTCGAAGCAGTTCAACAAGCAGTGTTAATTGCTTTACTAAATTATTTAGGTTATTCAATAGAAATCAAACATCCAGAACGTCTTGCTGCTAAAACAGTACAATTTTTAATAGTGACAGAATTGTTTTATGAAGGTAAATCACTTAATTTTGGTGAAGAAATAGAAGAAATTTGTTCTAAACGATATGAAGGAGAAAGAAGTGCTGCTCCAAACATTAAGAAAATTCGTCAAACACGTAGACATAAAGATATAAATCGTGCTGCACTAACATTCAACAGATTATTAAAACTTGTTGAAGAACATGGTTACAAGGTAAAAAGAAGATATACTAAATCATCATTTAAAACATTGAGAATGGAAAAGATTACTGACATTTTATTGAATGAAAAAATCATTATTGATACAGTACAAATAAATAATATTGGAAGAGCTGTTAATAGTGTTATTACTAAAACATTTAAAAAAGGTCCATATAAAACTACAATGATTGAAGTAAGAAATGAAGTTCTAATGAGTATATTACAACAAATTCCATATTTTAAAAATACAGTTCCATTAAAAGAAAATCAAAAATTAGGTATTCCTGAAACTATTTCATTTAATCCTATTGATTTACCATTACAAAATCCATATACTACAAAATATATACCAGATGATGATTTTAATGACTACCCAAAAATTCCATCTTCTAGTATTTCAATGGAAATAAATCCACCAATGATAGATAGAATTTATGATATTACAAGTGAAAGAATGAAAGAGCTAGATTCACATTCTATTTCTAATCAAGTTCAATCAAATAACCAACCTCAAATTTCAACACTTATTGATAATAGTGATAAGTCTATTGAAAGTAAATATCAAGGAAATATGACTGAAACAATGAAACAAGGAAGAAGTTCTCCAATTTATAAACTTATGTTTAAGCCTGTTGAAGATGATAGTTATTTCCAACAACCAATCACACTACCACAACGGTTCCAATCAATTTCTAAATTTCAACATCCATATATACAACCGAATGTTTATATTTAAGTAATTGTATTTTGATTGAAGGAATTATTTAATATAATCTCTTTCTTTTTTATTAAGAAAAAATTAAATCCAATTAAAAAATTTAAAAAGAAAGAATGATTTTACTAAATTTAATAATCACAACCAGTTGGTGTTAATTGTAATTGTGGAGCAAATGTAATTTCATCACCACAATTATCTTTTCTTAGTACTTTATCAGTACATCGTTGGAACATTGGGTTTGCTTTGTCTGATGAAAGAACTGTTGTACAATATCTTAATTCAGAAACAGAATTTGATGAACATCTAAAATATGCAGCATTTTCAACTCCTATTTTCTTTGCAAGAGCATTAAGAAGTACTTTTTTACTAATTTTAGTTTTACCATCAGCAACAGCACCAGCACTCTTAAACACATTCCATGCATCAGCTTTTTTAAGTAATTTAATTGCAGCATTAACATAATCTTTAACTCCATTTTCTCCAGTATATACATCAGTTAAACAAACTCCATGTTTGTCATATTCATATTCAATGAAATGACATCGAGAAAGAGATGGCCAGTAAAATGCAATATCATCTAACAAAGCAGGATCAGACTCAATTACTTTTTGAACTTCACTACGACTTGTAGTATACTTACAGCAAGCTGGCATAGACCCAGAAGAAAATGATGGCCACCATCCATGCATTGAAAATCCATCTGTCATTTGGCCAAGACGTGTTGGCATATCACAGCATTTAGTTTTACAAAATTCTCCTGGCCAAGTTGTAACTAAAAGAACAAAGTCCCAAGTAACTTTACAATTATTACTTGTGCATAATTCAAACTCATCATGGACACATTGTTCAGCATAACATAAAGCAATTAAACTTAATAATATAAACATAATTTGTTAATAAAGAAAGATTCTTTTTAGATCTATTAAATAGAACAGAACACTATCAACAAGGAATACTTTAGAAGAATTTATTTAATAGAATATTCTTATTTTGTGAAATTGAATTTATCCAATTCTTTTGATTTTTCTTTTCTTAAAAATGTTATATAAATCATAAAAATCTCTTAATAAGAGAAAAATTATTTTGATCGTTTTGGGAACATAGTAACATATTCAGAGTAAATTGGCTCACTATTCTTATCATAGCCTGGGATATACTTTCCTATCTTTAGTTGTTTACAAACAGAATTACATTCATGGGACTCAAAGAAATGAGCAATCCCATTTTGTCCAAGATTAGTTGACGAAAAAAAATATTTTGATAGAGACTCATGATGAACTGCTGGATCGGTTAATATATATTCATTCTTTTCTTTATTAACCACTCCTTGTAAGTCAACAACAATTAACCTTCTAGCAGTTCTGAAATATGTCCAATGAGAAAAGGCTTGAGCTGTAGCACTATACATTTCAGAATTTACCCAATAATCATTATCGTTAAACTTAACAAATTCACCATTTAATTCAGGTTCAACAAAATATACTTGTTTTTTACAGACCATCATTAGTTCGTCATAACTTAAAACTGATTTTCCAATAAGACATTGGTCACATTCAACAAATAAATATGTTGGAATGAAGTTGATTCTTTTAAAAGAAGTATTAACCTGATTAAATTCGGATGCCAATTCTTCAACTGCACAATTTAATTCAAGAGAATGAAGGTATTTAACTAATGAAGTAAATGTTGGTTCAATGAAATCTTTAAGTACTATCTTTTTTTTTGTTAATTTATTAATTCCATGATAAGCATTTCTAATACCACCACGAGCAAATGGATATTTGTTTTTAACTAATACTGTTGGTTGTACGTGATACCATAATGGTCTTGAATAAAATTCAAAACATTGGTCATTTAAAAAATATTTTGGTTCAATACTAACAATAAGTCCTTCAATAGTCTCTGTTTCTTCTAGATCTAATGGATAAAGATGTAATATATCAAGTGGGATAAGAGATAAATCTTGTTTAGTTAATAGTGGTGGTCTAAATGATATAGGAATAAATGGGTTAACCTTTTCTGTTCTAATTGTTGTCACACCATACTCGTCAGTACTTTTTATAGAAATTGTAGTTTTTAATTGACTTAATCCATTCCAGAAGAATTCAGCATATTCAATTGATTGATTATATGAAGTAATTGTAAATAAGAATGTAACTCCTTGTTTCCCACAAACTTCAAGTAAAGGTAATAAGACTCCAAGGTTTGAAGAAGAGATACATTCTTCATAAAAGATTAATAAATGAACACACACTTGTAAAGAATAAAATATTTCAGACATACCACTAACAATAACTTTTACTAACTCATAAAATGAAGGCAATGGTGAAACATCATAATACTTGATTCTCTGTAATTCATAAATAAATTGTTGAACATTTTGATAGACACGATAGATTATTGGAACTTTATTGTCTGTTGGTTGAATATAAAAGGCATGGATAATATGATTTGAGGTAAGAACAGGAGGACTTACTATCCTGTATATATGTTGGAGCATTTCATGGTGATGCCTCTTTGCGCTTAATGAACAGTCAATGAAAAAAGCACAATGAATTGATTGAATTGAATATGTTCCATTATTTAAGAAAGACAAATCTTGGTAAGAAGGAATTTTGATATACTTTTGAATTAAAGAAATATCTTTTTCAGCAATTTGAAACATGACGTTTGAGTGTGGAGATAATGACATTTAACTTTTACTGTTTTTCACTTTTTCTTTCATTTATAGTCATTTCATAAAACAGAAAATTTAATAAAAATCAAAATAAAAATGTTTTTTAAAGACTGTTAAAAAAAAAGAACTGAAAATAGAAGAAACTAAAATGGTTTGTTAAGATCCAAAAGAGTAATTTTCATGAATCCAGAAAGAGCAATTGACATTGACATGATAGGACTATTTCTTTTCTGGGAATGCTGATTTTGAGTTTTTATTAGAAAATGATTATGAAAGAAAAAAAATTAATGTTATGCGAAATAACCTTAAAACATCCTTGTTAGTTTATAGTAAGAGTGATGACTTAAAAGGAAAAGTTCTAATAACACTAAGAGACCCCTCAAAACAAATTCAACACCAGGGGATTATTATTTCATTAGTTGGACTAATCAGTTTGTTATATATTTATTATTATCAGTATTACTTTATCATTAAATAGGTAAGAACAAATAAATAACACTATAGAAATATTACCACTTAATAAAACTTATCAATTCTATGAAGAAAACATTGAACCATCAAGAGGGGGAATTATCTTCCAAGAGAAAACATTAATTCCGTTTATTTTTGAACAACCTTTTAAAAATTATGAAACATTTATTGGGGATTCAGTTAAATTACAATACTTTCTTAGGATACAAATTAATACTAAATATCCTCCACGTCCATATTTTGAAAAAGAAATTTATGTTTCTCTTCCAATTGAAAAAATTCCATTGAGCCCATCAATAAATTGTGAAGTTAGAGTTGATAGAATTATTCAATGTTCTCTTCATTTAAGAAAATCAAATTATAAAACTGTAGGTGATTTAATTTTAGGAGATATTATATTACGGAATATCAAAATTATATTAAGTGGAATAGAAATTCATCTTGTAAGAAAAGAGTGTTGGAATGGAAACACTGAAAAAAGTATTTCTATTGTTAAGCGTTTTGAAGTAATGGATGGTATACCAATTAAAGGTGAAAAAATTCCAATTAGAATTCCATTACGTGGAGTTCCATTAACACCGTCATATAATAATGTTGGAGGATTATTTTCTATTGAATATTTCATTAGCATTGTAATAATAGATTCTGATAGTAGGAGGTTCTTCTCTGAAACTCCTATTAAATTATATAAAACAGATGATGAAACAATTGTTAAAGCAGGAATGCAACCACCTACTATGAACTTTAATTTAGATCATTTAACACAAACAGTTCAACCAATAATTCCTAAATTTGATGAAGTTAATTGCAACATAATATCTCAGTAACTTAAATTTGAACAAATAAAAAGAATAATTATTGAATTTTTATTCACTCATAATTAATTTTATTTATATAATTTATATATCATTTCATAGATTAATCATAAAACTAGTTATGTTAATCAATATGAAAAACTTACATAACATATTTAAACTCTAAAACTATTTATATTTTTTAATAAAGAAGGTTTTTCAAACAATTTAACTCTACCTAATATATCAAAACACAAAACATCTTTTCAGTTCATCAACAATACCGAAATAACACTAATCTTTTTGTCTTAAAAGAATATTTAGTTATATTAACTAATCTTATTCATAAATATAAATGTTTAAAGATAAACTGTACATTGATAAGAAGTAATTTATATCAAGAACATTAATTGGAGAGATTAATTTAAAAATAAAAATTGAAAAGCAATGTAAGTTCCTTTAGTTAAATGTTTTCAAGAATATTTCCAGTATCTATTATATTCTCCCATAAAAAGTTAGAGTTTAACTTATTAAAAATGACAACAGTATGAATAATAATTCTTATTATGTTTCTATAATTTTTATTAAATCTTTTAAATTATAGATTATATAAAAAACAGAACCAAAAAAGATATTTATTCAATCTAAAATATTATATGATTCTTCTCAAATAAAACAAGAATAAATAAATTATCAAAATTATTATTACCAAGTTTAAATAAAATTAAAAAATTGATCTTCTTATTTATTTCCAATTTTTATCAAATTATTAGAAAAAAATAAGAAGAAAATTAATTCAAAGAAAAGACTACTGATGTTTTTATTGTTTTTTCTTTTTTAATATAATCCAAAATAAAATAAATCAAAAACAATTAATTAAGTAATTAATAGAATCTGAGTCTATTATTCCTGGCTCAGGGGAGAATAATCCCATCCCTTCGTTTAGTAGTAATCCAAAATAAAATAAAATAAATAAAAAGAAAATATAATATAGTACAGGTTTAAAAATCTAAAAGAAGATTATAAAATAGACCTGATAACACTTTGAGAACTCCTTGTTCTTTCAAACTCTTCAACAACTTTTTTTATTGTTTCTACTTCATTGTCTTCATTTCCCCCTTCATAACGTTTACAAACAAATAAATTCTCAGAAGTTGTCCAAACAATAGTACTATCATCAAATATTATAACTCTATCAAGATCTCTTCCTAATTTGTGAGCATCTTTAAAGAGTTGTCCAAATTTTTCTTTACAATTGTGACAATACAATTTATAATCAAATATTTGTCCATCTCGTTCTAAGTCATTGACTATTTGATTTGCATAACTTTCTGTTGATGCAGTAAATAATATTAACTCATATTTCCCTACAAGATTTTTTAATAATTCTCGAGCCCCAGGACGTACTGAAACAAAATATTGTTTTCCTTGAAGTTCTACTGTAATTAAATCATCACTAAGACTTTGTGTATTTACGTGAGTATGAACAAGTGTTTCATCTAAATCAAAAACAATAGTAAGTCTATCATCAACTTTTTGTGGAAGAAGAAAAGTCTTTTCTTTCATTATTTTAATTTCTTGTGGTGATTGGTTAAAGCAAGTGTATAAATTACTTCTAACTAGTTTTCTTCTTACAAGAGTAGACATAATAATATTTATAGATATCAATTAAAATTTTTTCTTCTTCTTTTCTCATCATTTTGATGTTTTTAAAGAAAAACTTTTTGTATTATTTACTGAATACCTATTTTTCGGTTGAAAAAATTCTAAATTTTATTGTTTATAGTAATTTTCATCTCTGTTCTTGACTAATTTTAATTGAAACTTCCTTCAAATTCTCTTTTTTGGTAAAATCGTTTTTTTCTGGTTTTTGTGCTTTTTCCTTTCTCCTTTTTTCGAATTTTTCTTTTTTTTTTTCAAAGTTTTCTGTTAAATAAATTAAACTCCTTATAAACTTTATTTAGTTTTATATAACATCATTTATCATTTGTTATTAATAACAATAATAAATAACAGATAAGATAATAATATATGAATTATTTATTGAAGTTTGTTGTAATTTTTATAGAAATAATAAAGAATTTTGAAGAAATAAAGAGAAGTTAATAGTTAATTGAATGAAGAAAAATTTAGGTAACATGAACAATAAAATAATAGGAAAAATAAAAAGAGAAAGTAAAGAATAGTTTCTTCGATGAAGGAAAATTCTTTTTTAAAATCTCCGAAAAATAAAAATAAAAAAAACCAAAGTGAATGATTTTAGACTCTTTTAGGTGAGAAAAGAATACATCTACAAACTACTTTGTTAGATGAACAAATTTTTCATATAATAAGAAAAAGAATAAAAAACAAATCAAAAAACGTAAACCATAAGTTATAAAATCTGAATTAACACAATTTAATATTGGTCGATGCTTCTATTTGATATAAAAACAAGGGTATTCGTGAACTTCAAGAATGAACAGACCATCACCACTGAAAAGGTCTAAGTTCTTTGATTTGTCAGTAAAAGAAATTGATAAAAATGATAGTCAAGAAGAAGAATACCCTTATTTACAAGAAAACAATGGGATGAAGTCTTTTTTATTTTCCTATAAACTTAATGACTACGAAGTTGAAATGAATACATCTCAAAATATTCAATCTAATGAAACAAATGACTTTACAAATACTTTAATGTTTGAAATGACTCTGTAAATAAATTTAATGTCACTTATATTTCTTACCTTTTATATTAACATGAAATTCATTAAATTAAAAGAATATATAAAACTTGAAATTTTCTTGTTTAGATTAATTTCTATGAACCTTTAACTTCTTTTCTTGAATTACTTTCAATTAAATAGAATTTTTTAACAAGTAAATTTTTTATTTTTTTCATTCTTTATTTTAGGAATTAAAAAAAATAAAAATAATTTTATAAATAACAAATATTATTCAACTTATTTATTTACATCACTTTTTTTTGCTTATTTTTCTCTTAGTTATTATCAAATAATTCCTTCATATTTCTTTTCATTCAACTTTTTTTTCTTAGGTTAATCATGTTTTAATCTTTTCATATCTTGGTTTATAGGTATCTTCCTTTTGAGTATAATCTTTAATAAACTATTACCTTTAAATTAAACTTATACCAAAATAGGAATTTTAATTAAACAAGATGACTATTTTATTAATTATAGAGAGTTTGATTGTACTAGGTATTAGTCTTTCAATAGATAAGACATAAATTTTACTTCAAAAGTATTAATAACTAATAACAAAAAATAAAATAAACAAAGAAACTAATAAATAATATTATTTATTTAAAAAGGAGTATTTGTATTTAACTACTAAACACTAAACTAAATTAAGAATAAAGTAATAAATTCTTATATAAGTTTAATTAAACTATTGAAAGTTTTGAACACATAATTATTAATGAATAATTATGTTACTTGAAAATTCATTTTTCTTCCCATTGAGAATTAAATTACTTCTTAATAAAAGAGGTAATCCATGTAATGGGTAATACAATTATATTTTTTAGTTAAGATGATTTAAATACTAATATTTTAGAAAACCCTATTTCAATTTTCAATAATTTATTGTTATAATTAATCATAATAAAAATATAATAAAAGATTTGCTTTAAAAAATAAGTCAAATTGATTTAATTATCAGCAGCTCCTTCTTTATTACCTCCTCTAATAAGACCAGTTCTTCTAGCAGCAACTTTACCAGCTTTTTGTCCTGGTGGTGATGATCTCTTAAGAGTAGTTGGATGTCCAACATGTTGATGGTTTCCTCCTCCATGTGGATGGTCAACTGGATTCATAGCAACACCTCTAACTCTTGGCCATGTAGTTCTTTTAGCCTTATACATACGATAAGCAACACCAGCCTTAAGAATTGGTTTTTCAGTTCTTCCTCCACCTGCAATAATACCAACCATAGCTCTACAATTTGATTTTAATGTCTTTTTGGCTCCAGATGGAAGTCTAATACGAGTAGTTTCATTATCAGCATTATGTGAAATAACAGTAGCATAATTTCCTGATGCTCTTGCAATAATTCCTCTGTCTCCTGGTTTAGATTCAACATTACAAACAACAGTACCTTCTGGGCATTGTCCAATTGGAAGAACATTTCCAATATGAAGAGAAGCTTTACTTCCACAATAAATGTATTGTCCTGAATATAATCCTTCAGCACAAATAAATAATTCTTTATCAAGTCCATATTGTCTTGGATTTCTGAAAACAACTCTAGCAAGAGGAGCTCCTCTTCCTGGATCATGTTCAATTGATTTAACTAATCCTCTAACTGTTGAATGTCTTTCAAAGAAATCAATAGCACGATGTTGAGCAACACCCAATTTGTGATGACTTCTTGATTTGAAAATGGATCCTCTTCCTTTTCTTTGACTCAGTGTTCTTCTTCCCATGGACTGAACAAACCCATTATTAAGTTCTATTTTCAGATAATAGGGTTTTTTGTTGTTTTATTGTTTCTGATTCATTTATTTTTTTGTGTTATTTTCATTAATTGTTTTAATATTATTTTGCTTAGAATGAAAAATAAAAAAAAAGAAAGAAAAAGCTAAATAAACTACAACATTTTCATTTTTATTCTTGTACTTTTTTAAAGAACTAGTCAACAATTAATTATGTCTTCTATACAAACTACCTCTAATGAAGAAGAACCTAAATTTGTTGAAGGTGAGGAGACCGAAACATCTAATGAACCTTCAAAAATTGTTAAAAAAGAAGAAATTATTATTGGCGATCCTCCAACCCAAAATGAAAGTAAGGGAAGGAAAGAAAGTGAAAAAGATAACAAAGTAATTACCCCATTTAAGGGCATCAACAAAACTGATTTAACAAGACTACAAAAGTATGATGGAACCTATGAAGACGGTAGAAGTACAATTCAACAACTTTACACTGGACTAACTTCATTAAATGGAATGATGTATTATCAAGAGAACGAGGTACGGCCTCATGTTAGTTTTAAAAAATTTTCCAATGAAATTAAAATAATGTCTCGTGCATACGTTGGATTAGAGTCAAAGGGTTGTGGCGTTTTGTTCATAACAAATAATAGCTGGAAATCATATGCAATGGGAATTGGATGTGTGTTAGCGGGAATGTATCAAATATATATTAACCCTAAAACACCAGTTAATAAAATAGATGAAATAATAAAACAGTCCAATGTTGTACAAATTGTTACAGATAGCAATTACAAAGATATTGTTATTGAGGTCATCCATTCAACTAAAGTTCAAAGTGTGTTAATTGATGGAATAAATACTGACAATGAATTTATGTCATACGACCATTTTAAATCTTCTGGGCAAAGAATAAATGACAGTATTATCTCAAGTATTGAAAAAGAGATTCATCCAACTAATATCGCTGAAATGGTTTTCGTAGAAGGTGATAAAGGGATTCATGGAGTGATATGGACCCATGGAAATATTATTTCAGAATGTAACGCTATCAAAAATTCGTTTCAATTAAGTAACTCTATTAGGTATATTGCGTGTCATCATCAATCTTATTATCTTGAACGTATATTCTCATTATACTTACCCATGTTATTTGGATATCAAATTTATATTTCATCAAAGTCTGTTTACCAACAAACATTAAAACATTTTGTAGAAATAGCAAAAAAATTTAAACCAACTCTTGTTTTTGGTGTTCCTCGATTTTATGAGAAGTTATTATTCAGAGCAAAAGAAATTAGTGGTAGTTCTAAGATAATAAAGAAAATGAAACAAGTAGGGGTTAAAGGAATTATCAATAAAGAAGTTAACGTATCAAAACCAGTTGGGTTTGGAATATCAAAGAGATTGTTATTTGACAAAGTAAAATCACAACTTGGTTTAGTTACAACACAATATTTTTTATGTTCTGGTTTAATTGAAACAGAGACAATAAAAGAAATAATGGGAAATGGAATAGAAGTATTTTGTGGATTAGCATTTGCAGAAACAACAGGATTTTGTTGTTTAAATAGAGAAAAAAATTTACAGATTGATACTGTTGGAAGGCCATTAAAAGGGGCAAATATTCTTTTTAAGGGAAGGTCTAAATTAGTTATTGGAGGAGCTCTTGTTGCAGGAGGATATTCTGATGGTGAGATAGGTGAATATGGGTTTGATACCAGGTTCAAAGCAAAGGTATGTAAATTTAAAGATTCTTCTTCTGCGTTTGTGAAGCTTATTGAAGAAAATAGTTCATTTATTTATACCAGTAATGGTGAACAAGTTCCTTTCAAACTAATAGAAGAACAACTTAGAACAATACCTGTAGTCAAAAATGCAATGATTATTGGTAATAATAAACCATATATTAGTTGTATTCTTAGTGTCTTTTATGAAAAAGTTAAAGAAGAGTTAAAAGAAAATTGTCCAATAGAAACACAAATAAGCAAAGACAAATATTTTGGCACATATCTTAGACAACACATCGACCAAGTCAATAAAAATTTTTCACACTCTCTTCAAATTAAAAAGTTTGGAGTTGTACTAGAAGGAACAGATCAAAGTAAATGGTTAAATGAGACGAGTACTATAAAAGAAAGAAATGAGGCGTTAAAAAATTTTAATGAATTTATTACCAAGTTATATACAACCAAAATTACAGAAAGTAAATTAAAAACAAATGAAAAAGAAAAGGAGTTTCAAAAATAAGGTAAATATATAAAGAAGTCTAAAAAAAATAAAAAAGTTAAAATTTCTGAAAAATAAATGAATACTCTTTAAATTAAAGTTTATATACTTGTTTCATGCGGGATAAAACAAGTTCTTTAATATAGTTAAGGTCCTCTTCAACATGTCTTTGAACTAAACCAATTGCAGAATCATTTAATTCAATAATATAATTTTTATTTGTTATTGGGTCATGAATTCCATCTAAAGCACATATATCCATTCCAAGAGCTTTTGAAGCTAAATCAATATATCTTTTATATTCATCAGTTACTGGAACATCATTATCAGTTTGGTTCATTCCTTTTCCTTTCCAACAAGAAGAAACTCTTTGAAATGCTCTATAGTGATCTCCAATTTTCTGAATTCTAAAGTCATAATCCCATTTAATATATGGTTCAGTAGTGACGTACTTATTTTGTAATGCAATAAGTGAAACCAAATCATCAAAATCTTCTTGATTTTCAAGTTTCATTTTACCAAATCCAGCATGTACTGTTCCAACTTTAGCAACCAATGGAAATCCAGTATTAAAACTCATTGAACTCCATGAAGGGTAATATGTTTGGGGGATTAAAGGAAATTTTTCTTTATACTGTTTATGTATTTGAAGTAATTTAGAGTAAATTACTGGTTTTTCTAAACACATATATAAAGACTCTAATGAGTTAATTGAAGGAATTCCACAATACATTAATCCCAACAACTCATTTCTCCAATCTTGTCCATAAACTCCTTGACAAGCACCCCTTATTAATAAGAAATCTGGTTGAAATGTTCTTCTAGTATTCATTGGAGTATCTGGAATAGCATACTTACTTGGCATAATAGAGATAATACAACCAGAATCACTATAACTTGTTAATACCATTTCGTCCCACATAGTAAATTCAACTTCAATAGTATAACTCCCAATAGACGTATTCTTAAATAAGTTATACCAATTAATAGTTGGTCTTCCTCCAATAACAAGTAATTTTTTAACTTTATTGGCTGACATTTAATGGTGTTGTTTGAGTTCTAAGTTCTGTTGACGATTTATAATAAGAATCAATACAAATCCTGGTTCGAATTTTTTAAGTAATTTAAAAATATAATTGTTATTTTTATTTACTTATTTTACATTTTATGTTTAAATAGTTTAAATATATTAAACACACCTTGTTTTTTTATTTTTTTATGTTTATAAATTAAATAGGAATGAGTTAAATATATTATTTGATTTTACCAATAAAATCAATATTTTGATTGGTTTGTAAAAATTGTTTATTGATTCTATTTCATAAAAGAAATCTTATAAATGAATCTTTATAATGAGAATCATATTAGAGTGATAATCTCTCGTTGAACATTAATTAAAACTATTAAATTAAAAGATGAGATAGGTGGTATTGAATTTAGTGTAAAATCTCTTTAAAACAATCAAAAACATACAAGTGGATAAATTGAATAATAAATCTGAATATAAAAATGAACAACAGATATGTTTAGAGTATATTAAATTAAAAGAAGAGAATAATGATGGTGATGTATATTCGAATATTTTAAATAATAAGTTAAAAGAAAAGATGGTTATATCTTTATTAAAAGTATAAAAGAGGGTAAATGTATTGATAATGATTATTAAATATGTTTTGTAAAATAAATAATTAAATGATTAATAAAGAACAACATATAATTCAATAATCATGAGGTATTGAATTATATATTTAAAATAGTAAATGATTGTATTAGTTTATTTATAAAATTGGTAATAACTCAAATTATATAAATGAAATATAACAAGACTTTTGTTAAAGAATAATCTGATAATTTATTATATTTCTTTTAATTTATTAACAATTAACATAATTATTATTATAAATTTATATATAATGATTAAAAGAAGTAAATTTAATAAAAACATTACATTAACTATAATGGTTGTTGTGATAAATTTAATGTAAAGTATACAAAAATGAATAAACATAAAGTTAAAATATTAAGTTAATGATAAATCACTTGAAATTGTAATTAATGTTATTCAAATTTAGACTAAATGAAAAATTAATTATGAATTATTTACATTCTTCATTGTTCTATTTTAATAATGAATTAATTAATTAAACCATCTTCTGTTATTAATAATAATTAAATAAAGTTTTAAAAGATAATCATTAAGAATATTAATAGAAGATAAGTGTAAAATATCAAATGTTAAACATTATTTATTCATTAAATATTGTTTTACATTATTTAATAATTATTATAACTCTTTTAATCCAT